TTTGTAGAGGTGATTGAGTGAGGTAATGGAGAGATCAGTGACATTGAAATAAGAATTTATTAGTTACAATTCCTAAGAGAAGTGGGCATGCCATGCCACAAGGGGCCACAGGGCAGAAGAAACAAGGTCAGTCAGGAGGCAGAAGGGGCAGAGGGAAAGCATGAAAACAAGCTTTTTTTACTATATCGCAGGAAGTTATTAGGTGGAGATAGCCCCTATTTGGCAGGAAGAGAAACACAGATGTCAGGAATTGTGGTTGGAGATTTGTTTATATCATTTTCAAGCATCCACAAAACCCAGAAGGTGGAGAGATGTAAACTTTGACAGTTGGTTTGGCCCTGTGATCAATGGATGCCAAATCTTCAATGACAGAATCTATAAAAGTTCATTAGAACACCAATGCTGTCTGCTGAAAGACTATCCTTTCTTCATTGAATTTCTTTTGCATCTTTGTCAAAAACCAACTGACCATACTTGTGTGGATCTATTTTTTGGGCTCTGTATTCTGTTCCATAGATGTATCTATCTACCTATCTTTGTGCGAATGCCACACTGCCTTATTTTAGCTTTATAGAAAACCTTACAACCAGATAGTGTGATTCTTCCAATTTTATTCTTTTTAAAAATTATTTTAGCTACTCTAGTTTCTTTGTCTTCTCATATAAATTTTAGATGAGATTGTCTATAGCTGCAAAAGAATTCCTGGCATTTGACTGACATTGCATTAAGTTTATAGATCAATTTGGGGAGAATTGACATTTATACTTGCATATTCCAATCCTCCTTGATTCCATCAGCATTTTGTAATTTTAGCATATAGATCCTATACATGTTTTGTTAGATTTATATATAAATATTTCATTTTCTTTGGAGCAATTGTAGTTTTTTTCAAATTTTGTACTTTCCTAATGTATAGAAATAAGATTGACTTTTTTAATTCTTTGGCAACACTAAACTCATTAATTCTAAGAATTTAAGAAATAGATTCTTTGAGATTTTATACACAGATGATTCTATGTAGATGTCATTTGAAATGGAATTTTATTTCTTCTTTTTCTTTGCCTAACTTTTATTTCTTTTTCTTTCCTTATTGCATTAAGACTCTGAGTATGATGTTGAATAGTAACAGTGGACATCCTTTCCTTATGTGTAAACTTAGGGGAAAAAGCATTCAATTTTTCCATTAAGAATAATGTTAACTAACTTTTTCATAGGTCCCCTTTAATAGATTGAGAAGTTGAGGAAGTTCCCTTCTCTTCCTAGTTTGCTAAGAGTTTCTAATCATGAATGGGTGTTATATTTTTTCAAGTGATTTTTCTGCATCAATTGACGTGATCATGTGGTTTCGTCTATAGGATTAATATAGTAGATTACATTGATTAATTTCTGAATATTGAACCAATCTTGCATTCCCAGGATAAAACTCACTTTTGGTCACGGTGTGTTATTCTTTTTATATATTGCCGGGTTGAACTTGCCAATATTTTCTTGAGGATTTTTGTGTCTATGTTCATGAGGGATATTGGTCTGTACTTTTCTTTTTCTGTACCATCTTTGGTTTCAGATCAGGCAATGCTGCCTCATAAAATGAGTTGTTGAGTGTTTCCTCTCCCTATATGTCCTGAAAGGGGTTGCAGAATTGGTGTTATTTCTTTCTTACGTGTTTGGTTAAATTTACCAGTGAAAACTTCTAAGTCTGGCAATTTATTTTTTGGAATGTTATAAACTAAGAATTCAATGCATTTAATAGTTTGGAGTTCCTGATTTCATCTTGAGTGGCTATGTAGTTTGTGGTTTCCAAGGAATTGGTCCATTTCATTTAAGTTGTTGAATATATGTGTCTAAAGTTTTTTGTAGCACTGCTTTGTTATCCTTTTAATGTCTGTGAAGACTATAATGATATGCCCTTTCTCATTTCTGATACTGGTAGTTTGCACCTTATTTCTCTTTTTATTTGTCACTCTTGCTAGATGTTTATCAATTGTATTGATCTTTTCAAAGAAACAGCTTTGGTTTCATTGATTGTCTCTATATTTTATTTTATTTTTTTAGCTTTCAATTTCATTGTTTTCTTCTCTTATTTCCTTCCTTCTGCTTAATTTGGATTTATGTTGCTCTACTTTTTCTAGTTTCCTAAGGTGAGTGCTTAGATATTTGAGACCTTTCTTCTTTTCTAATGTAAGCACTAAATGCTACAAATTAAATTCTAAGCACTACTTCCATAGCACGCTGTAATTTTTTTTTTAAGATTTTATTTATTTTTTGACAGAGAGAGACAGTGAAAGAGGGAACACAAGCAGGGGGCAGTGGGAGAGGGAGAAGCAGGCTTCCCACTGAGCATGGAGCCCGATGCAGGGCTCGATCCCAGGACCGTGGGATCATGACCTGAGCCAAAGGCAGATGCTTAATGACTGAGCCACCCAGGCACCCCCATAATTTTTGATATATTGTGTTTTCATTCAACTCAATATATTTTCTTTTTTAAAAATTTTTATTTAAATTCTAGTTAACATACAGTGTAATATTAGTTTTAGGTGTATAATATAGTGATTCAACACTTCCATACAACATCTGGTGCTCATCACAAGTGCACTCCTTAATCCTCATCACCTATTTAACCCATCCCCCCACCTCCCTTCTGGTAACCATCAGTTTGTTCTCTATAATTGTCTGTTTATTACTGAGAGAGGAATGTTAAATAAATCTTTGTTGATTTGTCTCTTTCACCTTTCAGTTCAATTTTTCCTTCACGTATTTGGAAGTTCTATTGTTATGTGCATACACATTTACTGCTGTTTTGTCTTTTTGGTAAATCAATCATTTTATCATTATGAAATGTCTTCCTTTATCCCTGGTAATTTTCTTTGCACTGAAGTTAACTTTGACATTAATATAATCACTCCAGCTTTCACTTCATTAGTTTTGCATCGTATATTTTTTCCATCCTCTCACTCTTAAATTATCTACATCATTATAGTTGCAGTGGATTTCTTGTAGACAGCATATTATTAGATCATTCTATTTTTAATCCATCCTGACAGTTTCTGTTTTCTGATTGGTATCATTATCCCATTTGCATTTAAGGTAAGTATTTTTATGGCTGGAATAAGGTCTATCATTTTGTTTGTGTTATGGGTATTCCCTCTGCTCTTTGTTGTTATTGTTCCTCTTTTTCTCCTTGTCTACTCTCGGATTACTTGAACATTTTTTAGTTTTCTATCTTAATGTATTTATTGTGATTTGACTGTATCTCTAACTATAGTTCTTCCAGTGGTTGGTTTGGAGATTAATAAATTAACACTTCATAGTCTACTTAGAATCAATATTTTGCCATTGTAATTGGAATGTAGAAAACTTGCTCCCTTCTAAGTCCTGTTAACCTTCCCTCTTTATGCTATATAAATATATGTCTCATACATTACATGCATTGAAAATCCCATCAGAAAATGTAGTTTTTTACTTTCAATCAATAAAGGCATTCTAAAGCACTCAAAAGGAGAAGAATTTTCTATTATATTTACCCAGGTATTTACCATTTCTATTGGTCTTATTTCATTCCTGATGTTCCCAGTTTCCTTCTGTCATCATTTCCTTCTGTCTGAAGAACTTCCTTAAACAATTCTTTTGGAGTAAATCTACTTGCTACTTGCTAGAGTAAATTGTTTTAGAGTAAAGCTATTCCCACGCATTTTAGTTTTCTTTCCTTGAAAGTATTTCATTTCCGCTTCTGAAAGATATTTTCATGAAATATACAATTCTATGTTGACAGTTCTTTTAACACTTTAAAAATGTTTTTTCCCTGCCTACTTGCTCCCATGGTTTTTGATGAGAAATCATCTTTTCATGTGCTTGCCAGATAGGCATATATCTTCTTATGTGAAATGTCTATTCAAACCTTTTGCCCATCTTAAACTGGATTCTTTTCTTATAATTCAGTTGCAAAAATTATTTACAAGCTACTTGTATTCTGAATACAATTTTTTTAAAAAAGATTTTATTTATTTGAGAGATAGAGAGTGGGGAGGGGCAGAGGGGGTGGGAGAAAGAATCTGAAGCAGACTCTGTACTGAGCCCAGAGCCCAGTGAGGGGCTTGATCCCACAACCACAAGATCATGACCTTAGCCAAAACCAAGAGTTGGATGCTCAGCCGACTGAACCCCCCAGGCACCCCCTGAATACAAATCTTTTATCAGATAAACGATTTATAAATATTTTCTCCCAGTCTCTTGCTTGTCTTTTCTTTTTTCTTAATGTTGCCCTTTGAAGAACAAAAATTTTTAAATTTTAAGAAAGTCCAACTCAACACTTTTCCTCTTATGGATCATGCTTTCAGTTTCATATCTTTGTTAATCCAAAGTCACCACATTTTCTCCTATGTTTTCTTAAGTCTGGAGTCCATACTGAGGTTTTTGTGGGGGTTTTTTCTTTCCTTTTTCCTTTCCTAAGCTCATTGGTTTGCATATAGCTACCCAATTGTCTTGGCATATTTGCTGAAAAGTTCATCTTTCCCCACTGAATTGCCTCGACACCTTTGTCAAAGACCAATTTATTATTAGACTGTCATTTCTGTTCTATTGATTTAGCTGCCTGTCCTTAGGCCAATACCACTATATCTTAATTACTATAGCTTTATAATAGGTTTTTAAAATGAGTGAAGTCCTCAAACTTTATTCTTTTTAAAAATCATTTTGGTTATTCTACATCCCTTATGTTTTCACATAATTTTAGAATCAGCTTGTCAATTAAAAAAAACAATGTTGGTTATTTACAATAGCCAAATTATGGAAGCAACCTGTGTCCACTGATAGATGACTGGAGAAAGAGGGTATGGTATATATATGCAATGAAATATTATTCAGCCATTAAAAAAAGGAAATCTTGCCATTTGCAGCAAGCTACAGAGTGTAATGTTAAGTGAAATAAGTTAGTCAAAGAAAGACGAATACCATATGATTTCACTCATACGTGGAATTTAAGAAAATGAACAAAGGAAAAAAAAGAGACAAACCAAAAGACCTTTAATTATAAAGAAAAAATATGGTTACCAGAGGGGAGGTGGGTGGGGGAAATGGGTGAAATAGGTGAAGGGGATTAAGAGTACACTCATCTTGTTGAGCACTGAGTAATATATAGAATTGGTGAATCACTATATTATACACTTGAAACTAATATAACATTGTATGTTAACTGTACAGGAATTTAAAAAATTAAAAAGTATTTAAGACTACAAAATAGAAATAAAATAATGCTGGGATATTATAGGGGTTGTATGGAATATATAGCTCAATTTTGGGAGACTTGCTATCTAAACGATATTGAATCTTTGAATACATAATCAAGGAATATATCTCATTTATTTAGATCTTCTTTAACTCTTGGGAGTGTTTTATAATTTTCTGCATATGAGTCTTACAGTTTGGGGGTTATATGTATTCATATACTTCTCCTCCTTCTTTTAAGTGGGCTCCATGCCCAGAGTGGAGCGCAATGCAGGGCTTGAACTCATGACACTGAGATTAAGACCTGAGCTGAGATCAAGAGTTGGATGCTTAACTGAGTCACCCAGGCGCCCTTCTTCTTTTTGATACTATTGGAAATAGAATTATTTTCTCAATTTCATTTTTGGAATGTTCATTGCTAGCACATAGAAATACAGTTAGTTTTTGTATATGATCTCATATCTTGTGATCTCTTTAGCCTGTGACCTTGGCTAAAATTAATTATTAGCTCTAGTAGTCTTTATTTCTTTCTTTTTATTTATTTACTTTTTGTAGCTTCATTAGGATTTTCTACACACAAGAATATATAATCTGTGAATAAGGACTTTTTAATTCTTCCTTTCTAATCTGTATACCTTTAACTTCTTTTTCTTGCCTTATTGCATGGGTTGGAACCTCTGGTTCAATGTTGAATAGGAGGAGCAAGAGCAGGCATCTTTCCCTGTTCCTGACCGTAGGTAGAAAAATCACCACTAAGTATCATCTTAGCTGTAGGTTTTTCATAGACACCTTTTAACAAGTGGAGGAAATTCCGTTCTATTCCTAATTTGTTGAGAATTTTATCAAGAATGGGGGTTGAATTTTGTCAAATGCTTTTTCTACATCTATTGAGGTGATCATTTGGTTTTTGTCCTTTATTAAAATGGTGTATTACATTGAGTTTTGGATATTGAGCCAACCTTGCATTCCTGCATTTCTGGGCTAAATCCCACTTGGCCATGGCATATAATCATTTTTTATGTTGCTGGAGTCACTTTGCTTATTGTTTCTTAAGGATTTTTTATGACACATAATAATTTTTATGTTGCTAGATTCAATTTGCTAAGTGTTTCTTAAAGATTGTTGAATCTAGGGTCATGAGGGATATACACCTATAGTTTTCATTCAATTTAAAATATTTTATTTCCTTTGTGATTTCTTTACCCAAAGTTTTAGAAGTATGCTGTTTAATTTCCATATATTTGAGGATTTCCTTTTTCTGTCTTTGATTTATAATTTAATTATTTTATGGTCAGTTATTTACTTTGAATAACATCAATTTAAAAAATCTATTGAGGGGCACCTGGGTGGCTCAGTCAGTTGGATATCTGCCTTCAGCTCAGGTGATGATCCCCGGGTTCTGGGATCAAGCCCTGCATCAGGCTCCTTGCTTCTCCCTCTCCCTCTGCCCCCCCCCCCCCCCGCCTTGTTCTCCCTGTCTCTCTCTCTCTCAAATGAATAAATAAAATCTTTAAAAGAAATAAAAATCTATTGAGACTTGTTTTATGACCTGGCATATGATTAAGCCTAGAGAATGTTCCATGTACACTTGAAAAGAATGTGTATTTCACTATTATATGTGCGTACTACAAATGTCAGGTAGGTTAAGTTGGTCGATAGTGTTGTTCAAGTCTTTATCATTTTGCTGATTTTCTGTCCAGTTGTTCAATCAATTATTGAAGGTGGGATACAAATCTCCAATGGTGATTTTCTAGTTCTCATTTTAGTTTTTGCCTCATGTATTTTAGAGCTCTGTTGTTGGGTGTGACACATTTATAATTGAGATATATATATAATATATGTATATATTCCTGGCATATTGATCATTATTACAAAATTTCTCTTTATAGTAATAGCTCTTAAAGTCAATTTTGTATGATAATGATAAACCGTCTTCAATTCTCTTAAAGTTACTGTTTGCATGGTAGGTCTTTCTCTATAAAATAATAAAACTTTCAACTTATTTATGTAATTGAATATAAAATATGTCTCTTATAGACAGCATATACTTGGTCTTATTTTCTTATTCAGTCTGAAATCTCTACCTTTTGATAGAAGTATTTGGTCCATTCCCATTTAATGTAATTTTTTATGTAGTTGGATTTACAACGTCTCATATTGTTTTTGTTCCTCTGTTCCGCCTTCACTGCCTTCTTTTGTGTTTATCATTTTCTAAGTGTACCATTTTAATTCTTTTGATTTTTAAACTATTTGAAATTTTTTTAGTAGTTGCTCTAGAAATTCTAATATATATGTTACTTTATCACAATCTACTTCAGGTTAATACTGCCTTAATTTTATTAAAATATAGCAACACTGTTCCAATATATCTCTTGTTCCTCTCCAATTCTGATAGTTATATGTACTATATCTACATATGTCATAAATCCAACAGTATAGTTCCATAATTATTGTTTTATCTGCTCTTATATCATTTAAAGAAATTAAGAGATAAAAAATTGAATATGTATAAAGTCTTTTATATTTACCTATATATTCGTCATTTCCAGTGCTTTTCATTTTTTCCTATGGATTAGAATTATTCTGGTATATTTCTTTTTAATCTGAAGGATTTCAGTATTTCTTTAGTATTCCTTTAGTATTTCTTGCAAGTCTGCTAGCCACAGATTATCTCAGTCTTTATTTATCTGAGAACGTCTTTGCTGGACTTTAATTTTAAAATAATAGTTTTGCTGAACATAGAAGATGGACACAGAAACATTCTTGGTTGAGTATTTTTCCTTGTGGTACTTTGAATATATTATTCCAGTGCCTTCTTGCCTTCACTATTTCTGATGATAAGTCACCTGTTGAGCATATTATGATGTTATGATCATATACTATGATCTATATGTTATTTTTTTCTTATTGCTTTTAAGAATTTTTTGTCTATGATATATTTCAGTGAATGGTCTACAATGTGTTTAGGTGAGGATCTCTGTGAATTTAGCTTATTTGGAGTTTAATGAACTTCTTGGATATGTAGATTAAAGTTTTTCCATCAAGTTTGAGAAGCTTTTGACGAAAAAAAATTCTGCTCCTTTCTGTCTTCTTTTGGGAATCATACCTATGTTGGTAGACTCGATGGTATTTTATATTGTCTCTGAGGCTTTGCTAATTTTTCTCCAATTTCCCCCTCTCTTCTTCAGATTAATAATTTCCACTGACCTATTTCAAGTGCATGGATTCTTTCTTCCGACAACTCAAATCTGTTTTTGAGCCCACTTAGTAAATTTTTCATTTGGGTTATTATACTTTACAACTTTAGAATTTCCATTTGGTTCTTTTAGATAATTTCTATTTCTTTATTGATATCATTGGGGAGTCACTGTCATTTTATTTTCCTTTAATTCATTAAAGGAATTCTTTAAAAATTCTTTAAAAATGATTTTTGTTCATTCTATGAACATATATTTAATAGGTACTTTGAAGACTATGCCTGCTAAATCTAACATCTGGAGCCCCTCAGAGACAGGTTTTATTGAATGCTTCCCTGCCCCTGCCCCAGCATGGGTTACACTTCCCTGTTTATTTTCCTTTGTATGTAAATTTTTGTTGGTAACTAGACATTTAAAATAATACATTGTAGCAACTTCTAATTTTATTTTTCCCCCTAGGGTATTTTTTGTCTTTTGTTATTGTTGTTGTTTTTAAGTAATTTGCTTAGATTTAATATGCCTCTCCTGTGGTTTGTTTTGGTTTCTCCTCCATTTTTAAAAATGTTCTCTCTCTCTCTCTCTCTTTTTAAAGCAGAGGTGTTACTCTTATTTCTTCATGGGTCAGGTCAAGTATTGTTGTACTCAAACAATAGGAAGGCTTCCAGCCTCGCTTGGTGGGTCTATGTGGAGGTTGGGAGCACATTCAAAGCTCAGGCAGTTTTCAAGTCTACCATGACTTTTACCTTCTGCCTGGCCTTCTCAGATCTCTGTACATGAGCTCAGACTCCCAGTCATCCAGGAATGTGTGAAGAGCTTATATCCTCTTATGGGCTCCATGTCTATGCAGCTTCCCTAGTCTCCAGGGATGTGTGGAGAATTTATCAAGCCCCTCTAGGACTCTCATATCCAGGATTTTCCTGGAATGTCCCTATTAAATTTCTGGCTAATTCTCCTGTCTGCTGCTGTCCCAAGCAGGACTAAAAGCTCAGGTTAGAAGAAATGTGGGCTTTTCCCATTTGTCACTGTGAGTGTAGGTTCCCACCCTTCACTCCCAAACGTGTCAGCCCCCTCTGGCAAACAAAGATGCTGGTTTTCACAGCTAGCCCACTCTGCTAGAATTCCCATGCTGGATCTACTGGGGTAGGGAACTGGGGCAGCTCAGGAAAGAATGCCAAGGACTGCCTGAAAACTTACCTCAAGTTCAGCAGTTTTGAGAAGATAAGCTCTTCTCAATTTATTGTTTTTGGTTGGTTTCTAGAGATCTGAAATGGTTGTTTTTGAAAAATCTCTCTGGTTTTATAGTTGCTTTTTGGGGAGAGGATGTCAACTCATTCACTTCTTCATAGTTGGAAGCCTCCTGCTTTCACTTAGCTTTTGGCCTGCTAAATTCCTACTGCCATTACAGATCTTAGAAGCTCTTCAGAAAAATTTTAAAAATGTTTTCCCAACATTTTTTTTTTGGCATTTTCAGTGGATTAGTCTAGATATCTAGTCTGTTATACAGAAAAGTTAATGCTTTATCAGTTTTTTATGACCATTAAATGAATTTCTTTATGCAAAGAATTCAGCAAAGTATCTGTAACACAAAGGGGCTCAAAAACACAGTGGTTATAATAATGTCTGAACACTTACATTGTAGGGATTTTACAACTTTGTTTTATTTAATCATGACTCAGTTCTGAATATCCAGAAACTATATTCTAAGCTACTACAAAAGCCTTCCTGGCTGGTCTCTCCATTTTCAGTCTCTTCGAACCTTTGATCTGTTCTTTAATCCTCACCTCACCAATACTCCCCAAATATATATTTTTTAATTTTGTTTTATTTTATTATGTTAATCACCATACAATACACCATTCGTTTTTGATGTAATCATGTTGCTTCTGCATAGTTTTTCATTACTTACTATTATTCTCTTGGTTTTCCACTATAGTCCTTTGTAACCTGGCTCCCAGTTTACCTGTAAACTCTGTCTCCTGCAGCTCCCTGCACCTGGTGGGTTCATTTACTAACTCTCCTTTCATTTTCTATTCTTACTATCTCCACTCTCACCGCCAAGCTTTGGCTTGAGTTTTCTCCTCCTCATCTTCTTCCCTGCCGCTCTGCACCATCTCCCTTCCTGGGTGTACCCTTCTCTCTCTGTCACCTACCCAGTTCTTACGGATCCTTTAACATCTGCCTCCTTTCATTCATCTAGTGGGCATTTGTTCATGCCAACAAGGGTGAGCTCCAAAGGCTGTCTTGAAGGTGCTTTTCCCCATATAACTTACCAAAAACAAAACATTACATTTTTATCCTACATCTCGCCTAGTTGTGGCTCCACATTAGGCAGAAATCTCATTTTTGTTCAGTTGATAAATCACTTTTATCCCACTTTTGACTACCTCCAACTTTAATATAATTAGGAGATCAGCCCTTCCCTCCCTGGAGTTATACATCTATCCTAAGCAATCTATCCTGGTTTAGATATTGTCTCTTCTGGGCCTATGACACAGCATATGGTTATAACCAAGTAACAAATATATTTCCAGAGGAAAAACTTAATTATAATTACGAGTCTCATCACTGAGGTAGTCATAAATTATGTTGCATAATGTTCTTAAAATTATAAAACTATTAATATTTGAGTGCATTAATTATTTTGTTTCATGCTGTGCAGGCAACCAAGAGATAATGGCTTCCCTTTAGCAAAAAAAAAAGTCTATTCAAATGCCTGGTTTGCTCTCAGCCCGTATCTCAAGTTTTTTCTTTGCCTTCTTTTTGGTATCCATCACCTTCCCTATGTTTTTGCCAGTTAGTCATCAGTGTGCATGAGATGAAGTAGAGAATACTGGAATCCTTATCAGTTTACCAGCCGGTCAGCCTCCTTGACCCAGTCTCACCCTTTCCTACACAGGACAAGGACAGTGGGAGAGGGAGAGGAGGTCATGAAATGTGCTTAGAAGAGCAAAGGACTTAATAAAAGAGGAAAAAATAGGGCGCCTGGATGGCTCAGTTGGTTAAGCGACTGCCTTCGGCTCAGGTCATGATCCTGGAGTCCCGGGATCGAGTCCTGCATCGGGCTCCCTGCTCGGCAGGGAGTCTGCTTCTCCCTCTGACCCTCCCCCCTCTCATGTGCTTGCTCTCTCTCATTCTCTCTCTCTCAAATAAATAAAAAAAATCTTTAAAAAAAAAGAGGAAAAAATAAGAAGTGAAGAAGGATAAGGGAAGCATAGGAGATGTTCTAGAATTTTTACCCACTTGAGTGGAAATGAACCAGTCTTTCACAAGATCACACATATTTAAGAAATAAGAAAAAAAATACATTCAGATGAGAATTATTTGATAACACCTCTACAGAAATTTGGTGGGTGAGGCAAAATGAAGAGGGCTGGCATAATGTGTGTCTTACCTATGGTGGCTTACTCTATTAGCACAGATAATCACAGTTGGTTGCTAAAACACACACTTCATCAACCAAAGGTGGCCAAAGGCTTATTCCCACTTCAAAATATTACTTGATACTATATATAAAGATGTATCATTATTGTTCTCGAATTCCAAGGGACTTGAAAATTCCATACAAATAATTTTGTTTTCCATAAGTCAGTGGACTTCCATTTAATCTTATCTGACTGTGCTCTAGAAAAACAAGAAACAAAAAAAACACATTTGGCTAGTTACAGATACATCTGAACTGGGATGCAAGAGGAAGGGAGAATAGGTCATTTTTACTAAGGCAAACTGCTGAGAAAAATAAAAGTAGTCATACTCTTTTAGCAATCTGCTTTCTTCTTACCCAAAACATAAATCTCACTGTTGACTACAGCTGTACTGAATCGGTATTTAGAGAACTTCATGGGCGCCCGCTCTGTCCATTGATCTTGGCTGGGGTCATACTGCAACAGTCTGTTGCTTAGTCGATCCGGTTCTTCATCAGGGAGATCCATCTGTGTGAGATATGACAGCTGATATAATAACATACCACTCGGAAATCTCTGTGAGTACGTGAATGCAATTAATCTAAGCAGACAGCCAAGGAGATGAAGAGGAGTTAGCTGCTGAGACTCACACTCACAAACACACCAGATCCCATGACTTGGGGTGATAAGTCTACCGTCAATGTCAGAGGAATTTGGACTCTGTAATAATGGAGCTCTGGGGTCGGCTCACAGCAAACAATCTGTGATCTGAGCAAGGAGACAAGACAGCACTTTTTAAAAAAAATGAAGCAATGGCAGAGCCTTAAAAATGAAACCCAACTTTCTTGAACAGTATTTAAAGTGCAATTTTATTTCAGCAAACTTTATAGTGCTAGAGTTTAATGATATTTGTGAGAAACTCATTTTAATAATTCATAAGGCATTTTTCTTTATATCTTTCTAATCCAAATGGAACAAAATTCAGAAAACATTTTAGTGTTTTAGTAATTAGAGTATTTTTATACTATAATTATGACCTATATGGGAATGGGCTGAACTTCATCTTCAAGATTGATGGATTAATATATATTATTTGCAGTTATTTTTATGTATTTATTTTACTTATATACATTTTTAATGACTAGAGACAGTAAAAATTGAACTATTTATTCTTATACACATGAATATGGCTTCCCCTGATCATAAACTTCAGGCAAAGTAGTGCTTTTTTGCCTTCAGTGTGTCAAGAACTTTTATAACTTCAGTCTAAGGATGCTTTTAAATGTCTTTTGTTTTGGATGCAGGTGTTTGACACAGAAATAATTGCCATACTTATGAAAGTTGTAATTAATTTAATTACTTTAAATACACCAGGGATATGATCATTATGATGCAATCACAACCCCAGGTTATCTTGCAATTTAATGTATTGTATTAGATAGGGACCAGCAGAAGCTTTTGTTATGCAATAAATATCCATGTGTCATTTGTTCAAAGACATTATTCTGTAACACGTATTGACTTTATTGTTTTAATTTTCCTTCTAATTTTTAAGTATTTGATCTTTATTTTAGTGGCAAGAAAACCAAAGAAAAGCTTCTACATTGTCTTTGGAGCTTATTCATGCAAAATAACTATGTAATGGATAGCTCTGAAAATGCATAATTACAAAGGTTTTAGCTACTAGCTGTGATTAAATCTGTACTACGTTTTGATACACAGGACACATTTCAAAATGTATTAAATGTGATGTTCAAGGTTTAAAAACAGGTATGATATATGGCAAAATCCAAGCTTATGAAATGAATACAAAAAGCATCAGTGTTTTCAGTTTTATCATGAAGCCAATTTCCCAAACAAGAAAGCATATAGGCAAAAATAAGTTTGCTTTCTGTCATGGGGATGGACAATGAGCTAGTAAGATTCATCTTTTTTTTTTTTTTAAAGATTTTATTTATTTATTTGACAGAGAGAGACACAGTGAGAGCAGGAACACAAGCAGGAGGAGTCGGAGAGGGAGAAGCAGGCTTTCCGCTGAGCCTGGAGCCCGATGCAGGGCTCGATCCCAGGACCCTGGGATCATGACCCGAGTGGAAGGCAGACGCTTAACGACTGAGCCACCCAGGCGCCCCGCTAGTAAGATTCATCTTCTGAGAACAACTGGTAGGCCAGGGCAGAAGGCAGCTGGCCTGCTACTACCACGAGAGTTCAAGGCACGGTGGGGATGGGGGGCGAACACCCAGAGAGAAGGGGAGGGCCCCTGTGGTCATGCTCTACTGACTCAGCAGTCTTGGCTTGCCATCTCTTTGCTGGGCTTCCATGCAAATGATATCCTGGTTTCTCTATCCGCTGGTGCCCAGCAAAGCCATAAAATGTTTTAAATCACAATATACTTTTGTGGAAATGACTGGGCCATCACAGGTTGAATATTCTGGTTTCCCATGTAGAGTAAGAACTTTAAATTTGGAAAAGACCTGAGCCTTACTTGCCTCAGCTCACACAACTATTAAGCAGACAGAAGTGGAATGAGGATCCAGTGCCTCCACCTCTTGCTTAGATGCTCACTACAGATAATTTCTCAGCATAAGCATCTTTCATAATTAGCAAGAATGGGAAGGATTATAAAGAGCATAGCATGAATACTGAATGAAGTCATGTCTATGAATAACACACTTTAAAATTCATTCTCCTAAACTGCTTTAACACTTTACGATCTCAAGTTTAATAGTCTATAAAATAAAAGGCATTTTACCAAGATGTAAGTCATGCTCTTTTAGTGTTCAACAGCTACAGTATTTTTCAACACAGCACCAGACGTAGCACAGCCATGCCAACTAGGTATATAGGAAATTTCTTCACCTGAGGGGTCCAGCCTCCGATCACATAAAGTTTATTATTCACGGTTACTACGGCATGGCATGCCAACTGCAGTGGAAGAGGAGACACCCTTCTCCAACTATCCCGTTCTACAGAGTACTTATCCACACAGTTTGTAATGAGATACTGGTTTTTAACTTTCATCTGTCCTCCTATAACATAGAGGTCATTATGGACACTGCCCAGAGCATAGAGCTCTCGAAATTCAGCGGTGCATAACTTTTCCCAAAACTGGTTTCCTTTATCGTGATACCTGCAAATTAAGAGAGAAAACCCAGGATTAGTGTTAACTGGAAAACAACTTATCCAAGAAACACACTTAAATTTCTTTTCTAGCTAGAAACAACACGATTTGGTTCATCTAATTGGGGAGGAAGAAACATTAGTATAAGATAGTAGCACAGGTTTGTGCTGCTTTTTTGGGCAAGGATTGATGAACAAACTATAATGTGCATGGAAATAATTAACCACATCTCTGCAGAATTTTAGAAAATATATGGACAAAGTATAGATTATCCAGGACTAGCCTTCATTTCCTGATTCTGGGAAAGAAAATCAAGAACAAATAGGAAATCTTGCAGCACGTCATTTGTAATTTTACTATAAAAGAGGAATAAGTAAAAATGAAGAAAAATACAAAAATGTCTTATTCTGTGGACTAGAAGTCTCACTTTATTTTTATTTAATTTTTTTGAAGATTTTATTTATTTATTTATTTGACAGAGAGAGACACAGCGAGAGAAGGAACACAAGCAGGGAGAGTGGGAAAGGGAGAAGCAGGCTTCCCGCAGAGCAGGGAGCCCCATGCCGGACTCGATCCCAGGGCCCTGGGATCATGACCTGAGCTGAAGGCAGACGCTTAATGACTAAGCCACCCAGGTGCCCCTAGAGGTCTGTCTCACTTTAATACTACATTAGAGCAATCAGCTTTCCAGTAGAGAATCTCAAAATATCTCTATTCAGAGATTTCTAATGGGACAAGGTAGAGTATGTAGAATTTTAAGGATTGTTCTTATAGTTCTAACTGGCTTAGAACAGAGTCAGGAACACCTGTAGGTGTCTGCTACATTTAACATCTATTTTAATGCTCTGGGTAGGATAATTTTAGTAATTTCTTCCATGAAAAAGTATGTCAGTCTGAGAAGGGTTTTGGGAGGTAGGGACACCAGGATATACAGTCTTTAAATACCTCCTAGAGTCCAACACATTAATTGACTGTGTGTGTGTATGTGTGTGTGGCATTATGTAGTCACTAAATATATGATTTTGTGGGTATCCTTTGTCTTGCCTCTTGATAATGGTAAGTCTGTTTTCTCCAATCATGATTTGAGACAAATAGTCTAAGAAGAATAAAAGTACTTATGGGGACAGTGGGATATGAAATTAGATCTGTCCCAGAAAATCCAGAATATATTCTGGAATTCAAAAGTAAAACAAAACCAGGAAAATATGGAAAATAAGAAAAAAAAAGTTGTTCTGTTTGGAAACAAATGAAGAAATGATGAATGTTCTATACAGAGTACAGTTTTAAAGTATAGAGTACAGTACAATTTAAAGTACCCTACTTACTTTGTATCAAACATTTGACAGTGAATCGGATTATATGAGTTTTGCCCAGTTGTTCTGAGCCAACTCTTAATTCTTCCCTAGAGACAACTCCTTGCTTCAGGCTTGACAGGGAAGTTGGAAGACAATGTTCCTTTCCTGTCTGGCTTGTCACAAACTGAATGCAGAAACTCAACAAATCCAGTCATCGTCTTCTGTGTAATCTGGGTAGGAAACCAGTCCCTAGAATCACAGTTGGTATTTTCACCACTACTTTCAATTGTACTAGATTTTAGAAGAGGAAGGAGGATTAGGTGTCAAGTGTGGGGGATATTGAAGTAAAGCCAGTGGATGAATATATCAACAGAACTAAAAAAATGGGTTTTTGGCTTTCTGAGACATGGTTTAAGAAAACAGGCCAAGAATGAAATACATCCCATGAAGGTTGGGAAGTACGTGTTTGCTGGGCAAGCTTGCTAATCTGATTTTCAACACTTTGAACTGAAAATGGGGAGGGAAAATGCCCAGATAAAACTATAAAACATATTATTAAGAAAAATGGATATGACATAAAAAGGAAATAGTGACAAAGTGGCTCAACTTCACAGAGGTTGATAGTGTAAAGACAACACTTACATCCTCAGCTGTGTGTACACCCAAGTATGAGAGAAAGTTAAAGGACACAGGAAGGTGTATCTTTTCTGAAAAGAAATGGCCTACTAGGGTACAGGTCTATTTCCTAAGTCAAGAAGAAATATATCTGCATAGAAATCTATGAACTATACAGAGGCAAGTTGAAGAGCATCCAGGCAAAGATAAAAGGGATAAGAACAGAAATAATAGAGTAGGAATGTAACACAAAATGATCATTTCTCACACATATCACAAAACTGGCACCTAACATGACCTTCAGGAATGCTCTAAGATTTTAACTATCTGGGTATCTACTGGAAGTCCGGCTCATTGAAGCCCAAAGCAATGCTTTTGATAATTTCATTATTTGCCTTGCTGACAATTTCATTATTGGAGGAGGTAAGCAGGGTAACGGATACTTTTACCCTAACTCCGACCACTGTGGAGTAGCTGGTTGGTGATGGGAATGTGGCTGAGTTCAAGACAGATAAGAAGGAAAACACAGAGTATATAGTTAAACATATGTCATCAGAAAGGGAAGTAGGCTTTCAAAAAAGTTAAGAGGAAAGATGCCTGAGGATCATAAGAAAGACACATGGACAGGGCTGGACGTTTATTAAAAATAATGGCAGTCAAGAAATGGGCAGAAGACATGAACAGACATTTCTCCAAAGGAGACATACAAATGGCCAACAGACTCATGAAAAAATGCTCAACATCACTCGGCATTAGGGACATACAAATCAAAATCACAATGAGATACCACCTCACACAGGTCAGAATGGCTAAAATTAACAAGTCAGGAAACAACAAATATTGGTGAGGATGCAGAGAGAGGGGAACCCTCTTACACTGTTGGTGGGAATGCAAACTGGTACAGCCACTCTGGAAAACAGTATGGAGGTTCCTCAAAAAGTTAAAAATAGAGCTACCCTATGACCCAGCAATTGCACTACTAGGTATTTATCCAAAGGATACAAACAGTGATTTGAAGGGGCACCTGTACCCCAATGTTTATAGCAGCAATGTCTACAATAGTCAAAGTACGAAAAGAGCCCAATTGTCCATTGAGAGATGAATGGATAAAGAAGATGTGATACATATATATATATATATATATATATACACATACACATACACACACACACAATGGAATATAACCGAGCCATCAAAAAATTGGAATCTTACCATTTGCAACAATGTGTATGGAACTAGAGGGTATTATGCTAAGTGAAATAAGTCAATCAGAGAAAGACAATTATCATACGACTTCACTCATAGTGGAATTTAAGAAACAAAACAGAAGATCATAGGGGAAGGGAGAGAAAAATAAAATAGGACGTAATCAGAGAGGAAGACAAACCATAAGAGACTCTTAAATCTAGGAAACAAACTGAGGGTTGCTGGAGGGGAGGGGGGTTGGGGATGGAGTAATTGGATGATGGGCATTAAGAAGGGCATGTGATGTAATGAGCACTGGATGTTATACGCACCTAATGAATCACTAAACTCTACCTCTGAAACTAATCATATACTATATGTTAATTAAGTGAATTTAAATAAAATAAAAAAATAAAAATAATGGCAGAACTGTGGACTGTCTTGATGAGGAAGAAAAATAGCTATGCATCTATGATGAAAAGAAGGACCCTTGGGATCTGACATCCTGGCTCTGTAGTCTATACCTGATTATTCTGAAGAAGGCTGTGCTTGCTGCCCAGGGCCATGCTTGGCCCCAAGGGCATAGGGCCAGGTCATTCACCCAGGGCTCTGCAGTCTCTCCCCCATCACTACCAGGGGAGATGAAGGTGAAAAGGGGACAGGTGCTTTAAGCAGATAATGGAATGTTAAAAGATGACAGGAAAATAGTAGGCCTCTTACTTCTTTCTTTGTCCCAACTTTGCCAGCAAGAAGAATTCCTTTCTCACTGAAAAGTCTGAACAAACCCTCATAGAGGGAACTGAGAGGGGGAGGATACTGACGGAGAGCTTTACTGCCTAGTGCTTATTCTATGTACATATTTCTTATTTACGCAGTTAGACTGAAGCCCTGAATGCTTACTGAATACTTGCTGCAGAAACAGTAAATGAATGACTAGTCCTCACATAGGAGACCTAGAGGACATGGTACTTCTTAGCAGACACTCCTTTCTCCAATGATTCTAGCCTTGAAGCATTCTCAGGCCACAAACATTTCATGCTATTGGAGGTTTAGGAAAGATCTATAAATTAAGGATACAGAACGAAAACCGAGAGATAATTAGTAATTTTTGGTTGAGAAAAAAAATTATTTACTATTCTGAATTATGAACTAAAACATAAATTCAAAGGAATCCATATTAATAAACTTTTCTTGTTAAAAGTTGTCTTAAGGGCGCCTGGGTGGCTCAGATGGTTAAGTGTCTGCCTTTGGCTCAGGTCATGATCCCAGCGTCCTGGGATCGAGTCCCACATCGGGCTCCCTGCTCCTTGGGAGCCTGCTTCTCCCTCTGCCTCTCTCTCTGTCTCTCATGAATAAATAAATAAAAATCTTAAAAAAAAAAAAGTTGTCTTAAGCTCTTCAAAACTCGTAACTAAACAATTACATCCTTTCATATGGATCAATAATGAAAGCTAAGCATGAAATTGTACAGTGGAATCATAACATATATACATTTAACTTATGGAAATCCACCTGTATGCTCTGAACAAATAAAAGGAAAAAAATAATTTTAAAATGTGGGTGATTTCATTATGAATTTTCTATATATGTAAAATATGTAATTACAGGGTAATTTTACTACACATCTTTGAAGAGATGATCACTCTTTCAGGAGTACTTTCTTCTACCATTGCTAATGTCAGAGCAAGATAATTAAAACCAATTTACAAATATTTGCGAGATACAAACCTATAGATTTCAACATTCTTGTTCTTTTGTCTAGAGAGTTTAGAGGCACTTGCTTCTCCGGCCACAATTATGGTGTTGTTTTCCAGGACCACACCAGCACACACGGTTCCCAAGCCCTCTCCATACTTGGGAGACGAGACAAAATAGGTCTTCCGTGAAGCAGGATCATAACAAAAACTGGTGTCCCCATAGTTCCTATGTCTTGACCTGATTCCTGAAGAGTTGTTGCCAATGCAAAGCAAAAGACTAGTAGTCTCCATGCCATAACGAAGATTTAGAGAGTGCTGTTGGGGTGTCTTGATGGCTTTGAATGCATTCTGAATTATGTCAATGCAATCTGCATCACACAGAAGCATTGTGTTCCTTTTCAGGGCTTGTCTTAAAAAAGAAGGGTTTATAAGTTCCAATCTGACTTGCTTCAAAAGCTCAACAAGATGCTCTGTGCGCAGTTCTTGGTTATGATTTACCCATCTCAGGACTAAGTCCAGAATGCTCTCCTCCCTGGATATGTTAAGGTCATCTGATTTAATAAGTGTCAGAAATTGGTGTGCTTCGATTTCTAATATTTCTTCATGTAAGCTCACCTCAGCAAAGTGCTGATACAAGTATTTCTTTGATTGATCAGATAAATCTTCAGCTCCAATCTGCTTTGCAAAATAATAGATACCTACACAGTTCGAGGCGTCCATATGGTCCATCATATATTTTTGACACACACTAAAGATTTCTTCCATCTGCATAAAATAGGCAGCCATAGCGACAGTCTGAACATTGGCGTTATCAATCTCTAAAGCTGCATTGTACATGTAATTCAATATCACGGACACGCTTTCTGCTGTGATGTCATAAAGTATGACTTCCCTTTGAGTACATTCGAGTAGTCCACAGGTGAACATAGCTTTGAAATAAGGACTAAAGGCAGCCAGGACTAGCCTGTGGCAAGGAAATTTCTCCCCCTCTGCTATGAGTATGACATCGATCATTTCTGCTAATTCTTTCATGCTCTTAACTTGATTCAGTAAATTCAAACTATGTTGGTATTTTTCTTTTCCCTCAGCCTTGCACTCCATGATACACTTTTCAGTGTTTCTAAGTACGTCTTCTTCAAAGGTAGCTGGATTCTTGCGGGGCTATTTGCATGTCTGATTACTCAAAAAGCTACAGAGACGTGCTGGAACACTCCTGAGGGAAAGAAAAGAATCCGGTTTCCCGTAAGAAAACAATTCTCTGTGATTTAAATATGCAGCATTAGTGACTAAAAAGTATTTATAAATAAATTTTATTCACTCCAAACGCAGTAGTTTAAGACAACCACTTTTGTATCTAGAAATAATGTCAGTGATTGCATAAACAGTAAATTATCAACTACTAACAACATTAACCTAATGAGCAGCAGAGATTTTTTTTTCTAGGAGGGCTGGAAAGTCCTCCCTCCCAAGGTGAACGGAGAGAGAAGTGATAAGATGGCCCGTTTTGCAACTCCATTTGCAGTTACCAAACACAGCTGCCTGCAGGCCAAGAGGGCAGGGGCATTAGGTAACCTGCCCTCTGAGGACGTGCATCTCTGAAAATGTCATGTGCACCTGCCAAAAAAAACCAAAACCAAAAACTGCACTCAAGTGTTATAATGGCCCCAGAACCACACAGGATGGCTGAGGAAAAAAAAAAAAGTCTATTAAAATTCTGCCCAGACTTTTCCTATGGGGCAAATAATTCAAAACAGTGCTTTGGAAAGCACAGCCAAATGTCTGCTGATCTGAGAATTCACAAGACTTGAAACTTACAGCTAAATCATCCTCAACTTAGAATGTGCACAAAAGCCATCCCGTTTCTGTATCCCCACTCCTTGCTCAGCTTCTCAGTAGTGGAGATGGACTCACTTCTCCCCTTAAAAAGCCCTGGTCTAATCAGAAGTCTCTTTCAGCTAGTTGTCTGTCTTCACCTTGCCCAGAGGAATGGAAGCAGGGTGTTTCAAGGAAGCTAATTAGCTGTTTGGATTTAAAGAAGGAATTCCTAGAGTCAGCAACCTTCACGTTGAGGAGCACATCTCCGGGCCCTGTCACCCTGTCTAGTTCTTACTTGGCTAGAAGTTGCACGCAGTAAGAATGAACCATGGTAAAAAAGTCAGTCCTAGGAGTTAAGAGAGGAAGAGAGGTGATAATTTCAATCATATGAAAGCATAATTTGTCAGCTGCAAAGGTTCTACATTTCTGTAATCCTATCAAGATTAGAAATCTCAGCAAGATTTCTCCATCTCAATTCTCACTGTGTCTCAATGAGAAATGGCACTTTTTTCAGTGTTGAATTAAAGTTCATTTCAGGAAACAAGTGTTAAGCACGATAGGAATGTTTAAGTATATGATGGCAACTATAAGACCTAAAAATCACTGTGCTAGAGTGTGTGTAATAACAACTAGCCGGTCTAAGAATCTGTATACTTGAAATAGGAATAAAAACCCTTCTTGCCAGATTTTCCAGCACTAATGCCTCAGGTTTATTGCAATAAAAGCTTAAAACTTTCTTTGTGAGGCCCTGCAGATTAAAAGTGAACCTTTGTTTTTTACTTTCATTTGTTTTAGATTTTTACAAAGAGAATCCAGTTATGGGTAATTAAGAGGTCATTATATTTCTGACTCTCCTACAACACATTATGAGTAGCCCAAATCATATTATGTGGGCCTCTTTGTACACAAACACATCAGTCAACTTTAAAGATGGCAGCTGTTATTTGAGCTGAAAACCAGAAAAGTTTCCTTATAAGGAGATAAATACGAACGAGTTTCTCCTATTCTATTTGTACTGATACCTAAGAATCACTTAGAAGATATCGATACCAGTGCTAGGAAGCCAAGAGCAGTTTCCAGATAGGATCACTAGATCGAATATGAGGCAGGCCATTCAGAAAGTGCCTCAAGTTCCCAGAGTTTTGACCTTGATGCTCCTAGGAAGAAATGAGACGCTGGGGGCTCAAATGTTGTGACTGTAACCCTAGGATTTTGTGTATATATATATATATTTTAAAGATTTATTTATTTGAGAGAGAGAGCACGCCCGCACCAGCGAGGGGAGGGGCAGAGGGAGAAGCAGGCTCCCCACAGAGCAGGGAGCCCAATGCGGGGCTCGATCCCAGGACCCTGGGGTGATCACCTGAGCCGAAGGCAGACGCTTAACCGACTGAGCCACCCAGGCGCCTCAGGATTTGTATCTTTAAGGCAGGAACCAAACCACCCTTGTTGAACTTTGTGGCATAAGGCTATCTTAATAAAAACACAAGCAGCATTAGTTTGAAAGAGAAGTATGTGTTCCTTTTCTTTATAAATATAGTAGTGCCTTATAAACACTGTGGACAATGTTGGGTTTCCCCCAGAATCCAACCTGCCTTCTGTTGGAGTGGATGGGGTAGGACCACTGTGACTGGTTCAGGGATGGGTGTGAGACCGGAGATGGGCTTAATCAGAGTGAAGCTCAGGTTTCTGGCTCAATGGCTGGCAGCATCCATGTGTTCTGCAGATGAGAGGTCTGGAACTGCTACAGCCATGTCCCCATAAGTCAGCATGAGGACACAGCTAATACAGGGAAGAAGGCAGAGAATCCAGCGTAATGGGTTTGAAACATGCTTTATATCTGTATTTTTCAGGCTTCAGTGACAAACTATTTCCTTTATTGTTTAAGCTAGTTTGAATTGGGATTGCTGTAACTGACACTCAAGAGTCCTTACTGGTATAAGTGACATATGCAAAAAGGTTGAGAAAAGGTTGCCTAAGGTAATTGCAATCATATATTTTGTAAAATTCCACTTTTGTTATATTCTTATGTTTTCTATTAGTATACTGTCAAGTAAAAGAACCATAGAAGCTTCTAGTTATCTTCATTTTTTAAAAAGATTTTATTTATTTGAGAGCGAGCAAGAGACAGGGAAGAGCAGTGAGGAGGGAAGAGGAGGGGGAAAGAATCTCAGGCAGACTCTGCACTGAGCGCAGAGCTAATACAGGGCTCGATCTCACTCTCACAACCCCGAGATCATGACCTGAGCCGCAACCAAGAGTCAGATGCTTAACCAGCTGAGCCACCCAGGCACCCCTTCATTTCTTCTTGATAGAAGGCAATATACACTAAGTCATCTTCTAAGTTTACCTCTTCTCATTAAATGGACACAACATTTTACAGGTGCAGGAACTGAGTTTTGAACGCAGTTCTATCTGACTCCAAAATCTGTACTCTTAACCATTCACTCTCGTGCAAGTGTGGGCAAAGGAGGGCCAGAGAGTAAATATTTCAGGCTCTGTAGGCTCTAGGGTCTCTGTCCTAACAACTCAACTCTGCTGTTGGAATGCAAAAGCAGGCATAAACAATACATAAACAAATGAGCATGGCTGTGTGCCAATGAACTGTTTTAGGGCTATTGAAACTTGAATTTCATATATTTTCATGTGTCATGAAACAGTATTCTTTTGATTTTTAAAAGCTATTTAGAATGATAAAATCCATTCTTAGCTTATGGGCTATACAAAAACAGGCCGCAGGTCAACAACTCTTGCTCTACTGTTATAAATCAATCCACTTTCTAGATCCTGAGTAGGACAATATCCCATCTGGGTGCCTAACCTCCACTTCTCTGCTTAAGCCCAGTTGAAAGAGTTTTGATTCAAAAAGATTCAAAAAGATCATCTGGTTGTCCCCAAGATTCCCAAATATAAATCAATTTCTTCAATAAATACTTTATTTGGATGCAGCCAGTCTGCCCCAAATATTGGCTGTAACAACAAAAAACACTTTTTTTTATTCTTATGTTAATCTCCTACATTACATCATTAGTTTTAGATGTAGTGTTCCATGATTCATTGTTTGTGCATAACACCCAGTGCTCCATGCAGAATGTGCCCTCCTCAATACCCACCACCAGGCTAACCCATCCTCCCACCCACAACAAACACTTTTAAAACAGAAATAATCGTTCCCAACATTCTGAAGAAGCATTTATAAATTTTTTAGATGGGCGTATATATTTATTAAGTATCCCCTTCTTCTACTTGCCTTTTATACACCTCCTGAAAGCTACTCGAAATTTCTATGGATTTATGGACCAAATGAATATACCGATGGAAATCCTGAAAAATATCCAGGCAGTTAAATGCACCACCACACTTCAAAGACATTCTCAGCAATGTCTCCTGTGCCTATAAGGTGCAGAGAAGATACCAGCATTGCAGATGGGGGCTTTGAGAGAGTCCTGGGTTTGAATCTCAGTTTAGCCGTTTACTTGCTATACTCCTAAAATGACTTAACCTTTCTAAACCTTGGTTTGTTCATCTGTAAAATGGGGAGGATGTATATAAAAGTAGTTAGGTCAGTTCTTGGCATCCAAGTGCTCCATAAATGGAAATTATTGTTATTTTACAGTGTAGCAGAGTGCAGCTTAGAGGCTAGAAACATGGGCTTTGGCTGGGTTACCAAGGCTTGGGTTTGAATCCTTTCTCTACTATCTAGTAATATGAGCAAATTTCTTAGCCTCGTTCAGTTTCCTCACTTGAGATTAGCTTTGAGAATTATTTAAGAATAGTTGGGAGAATTAAATAAGGCCATTCGTGTACAATACATCATTTGCCTGGTAAAATCTGCTTGGTACAGCTGAAGCAGGATATACCTGTATAAATAATTTTCTAATAATAACAATGTTTGGGTCCATATACAAACTGCTTGTGGGTACAGACACAGCTCATAAATAAAAGAGAGCTGACAACAACTTTTTCTTATAATGAGGGCAGAGAGGGCATTCTCCTCTCATCAGCAAAACAAAATTGTATAAATGTTCTCATGATATCAATGGGAAGTTATTCTCTGCTCCAATTTATAGAAGACTGAACTGGTGCATTCATATTAATAGTACCCATAATAATAGAGAAAAAATGAGTAGCAAAGATAAATACAAATCACAAGAATAAAGCCTAATTACTCTGCAAATCCAAAATGCAGTTATACCCATGTCCAGTATATTTAGTTTTGAGAGATGGACTGCTACAAATTTTAATGTGGCATAAAAATGTTAATTTAAGCTGCCAAGGATTTGCTTTTATAATGTTTAATATTATAATCTTTACATTATCTTTAAAGTTGCTACTTTTCCTATATAATGAATGATACATGAGCTTGCTTCCATGTTTTGCTGAAGTCAAAACTAGTTTAAATTCATAGTAGCACTGTTTGAAATAGCAAAAATGTGGAAATAACCTAAATATTGATTAACATGAGAACAGATAAACTGGAGGATATTCACTCAAGAGAATACTGCAGAGCATAAACAAAAAATGAACTAGAGCTACATGTATCAACATGAATTTCACGAACATCATAATCTGTGCAAAAGACTGCAGATGAATAGATGCTACAAACCATTGAGCTCATGTTTAAAATATGCAAAATAATTATGTTCTAATAGAGTAAATATAGACAATATATTCTGACAAAATAAATAAATGTGCTCTCTCTCTCTGCCAAATAAAGAAATAAAATCTTTTAAAAAGTTTAAAAAATTATATATTCTTTAAGGACACATACAACTCTGGTGGAATATAAAGAAATGAAGGGTAATTATAAAAAACATCAAATTCAGGATAGGGTTGCCTTGAGGAAGTGTGGAAGGAGGGGATACAATTGGAGAATTGCACTTACCGTGGTGAGCCCTGCACAATGTCTGAAATTGTCCAATTACTATGTTGTACACCTGAAACTGATACATTATGTCACATATACTTCAATAATAAAGATAAAAAAATGTATCCTGAGCGTATTGTCACCAGCACCACCCCTCATTCAAACATCACCAGGCCCTTCACAATCTGGCATCTCCCCACCTTTCCTACCTCATCTCCTGGCTTTCCTTCCTTATACATCAGTCTTTTAGTAGTACTGAACCACTAGCAATTCTAATGCATATGTTACCTTTACACACAGTGTTCTGTCTGGAATATCCTTCCCCCCCTTCCACCTGAAGAAATACAAGTGGCTCTTCCAAATTCAGTTAGACATCACTTCCCCTGTGAAGCCTTCTCTGCCCTTCCTTGCCTGTACCTTGAACATAGTGACTGTTGCATCTGCCTGTCTCCCCTTTCAATAATGAGCACATTGAGGGTAGGGGGCTCATGTTTTAGTCACTTCCAAACTCTTCACATCTGTCTGTGATGATGCCTGCTACATTAGGGCTGCTCAATAAGGTCTGTGCAACTAAATGTTTTGCTTCGTCCTAAATTACAATTTCATGATAACCTTTTTTTCTTCTTGTTTCATGCATGTTAATAAACCATTATCTTGAAGATCCTTTTCTACATTTATTTATTTTTTATTTTTTAAAGATTTTATTTATTTGAGAGAGAGAGAATGAGAGAGAAAGTACACATGAGAGGGGATAGGGTCAGAGGGCGAAGCAGACTCCCTGCCGAGCAGGGAGCCTGATGCGGGACTCGATCCAGGGACTCCAGGATCATGACCTGAGCCGAAGGCAGTCACTTAACCAACTGAGCCACCCAGGTGCCCCTCTTTTCTACATTTAAAAGTTGTGCTTAATTCTTTAAGTTGCTCATGTTTTTTCAAGTCAAGCAAATCACCCAGAATCCTTAACTTGATTTCCTTGATGCACTGTGACACCCACTTCTCACTTCACTTCTACTTTCAAAATTAATTCCCAGTTACCACGTGCTCTCAGGGTTTCGGCCCCAATTTTTAGAGAACTGAAGCCAGAGATCACAAATTGGCTACTCACACTTTTTTTTTTTTTTTTTTTTGCAAAATAGTTGTTAACATGCAACTGTAACATTGTAACATCTACTAAAAAAATGGAAGGCTTGGCAACATTGGAGCCTTCATTCCCATGGTGACAACAGTGTGTTTGACCTGAGTAGACAGTTGCCACCTCTCAGACGGCACATCTTATTTCCTTTCCCCAGCCCCCATTATCCTGAGTGTCAGTCCTCATTTATAATTCTCACACTGTTGCTTTTCTCCCCCGCCTTTTTAGTTACCTTCCAGCCACTTATTTGTGACCTCTGTTTTTCACCATTCCATCCCCACACCTCATTTTGCTTCAGTATCACAACCTTGCACAGACACTGGTAGGAAATGGCTACCTTAAATGCACTTTGAGTCTCCCACTAGTATGGAAAAACACCTGGTTCACTTAATAGCAATAATCCATCCCATACCCTAGGTGTTTAATAACGGCCAGGCCTGTAAGTGATAAAGCTAAAAAAGACAAGTTTCCTTTTTGCTTTCCTTTGAGGAGTTCACACTGTTTTGCATTCTCAGGGCACTTTATACTTTTCAAAGTGCTTTAATATGCATTGTGCAGTAGCTCATTAGTTCCTCTTAAGAATCGCGTGGGGGGGAAATGCAGCGTAATTATATTCCTGGCTTTAAAGTTAAGAGAGTTGCTTGGGGGTACTTTCGATGCTAATTGAAGCTTTTTGAAGTGCCAGGCACTATTCAAGGCCCTAGGCAGACAGCCAGGAAGGGAAAGACAGAAGGGTCCCTCCCTTTATGGAGCTTATAGTCTAGCGAGGGAGGCAAACGTTAACGTAGATAATGCTAGGACGGTGACTACTGCCACATTAAAGAGGGAAGAGACTCCTGGCTGAGCAAAGCTGGTCTCGAGAAGGAAGCGACTGGCTGGGCTGAGCTGCGAAGGCAGGAGCCGGCCCCATGACGACGGGAGGGAAGCGCAGTGGGCCCCACAAGCGCCAAGGGCCGGGAGGCTGCCCCCAGCTCCGGCCCTCGACCTTTCTCCATTGGCCTGGCCCTAGAGCTAAGACAAGGCCCTCGACAGGGGCCCGCGTTTCCTCTGTCACCGTTACTTACAAGCTGCTGACCCCCGGCTTGAGGCACGGCCCCACTGGCTCCGCAGAGGCCGCAGGGATGGCGCCGCGACCTGGCCCTGTGGCCGCGCGGACCGGGCCAGGCTGGCCGGGGCGGGGCAGCTAGCGGGCTTGACCAGCGGGCACTGCCCAATATGGGCCTGTGCGGGCCTGGTGATATAAATAGACCGCGCTGGGAGCGCAGGGGACCGAGGGCCCGCGCCCTGCGGAGGGGGCGGGGGGCGCTGGCAGCTCCTCTGAGGTGACAGCTGCTGCCCTCGGCGCCGCGGGAGCCCGGGATCGGGCGGCTCTGCGCCTGCGCTGGTCGTCCAAGCGGCTCTGCGAAGGCAATCCGCAATCTGCGGGCCCGCGGGCCGCTCTGCGCCTGCGCTGGTCGTCCAAGCGGCTCTGCGAAGGCAATCCGCAATCTGCGGGCCCGCGGGCCGCTCTGCGCCTGCGCTGGTCGTCCAAGCGGCTCTGCGAAGGCAATCCGCAATCTGCGGGCCCGCGGGCCGCTCTGCGCCTGCGCTAGTCTTCCCGCGCGGGCCCGCGTGCCAGGGCGGCGGAAGATCCGCCCGGAGTGGGCGAGGGCATAGTTTTAAAGAGAATCTGGAAATCAGATTTCTATAAGTGACACATCTATCCGCTTAATCTTTTTTAAAAATGCAAACGACCAAAACCCAGTATGTGTGGGCTCACTGAATGTGGCCAGGGAATAGGGTTGCCGGATGAAATGCTCAGTTAAATATAAATTTCTGATAACCAACAGTTTTTAAGTATATGTCCCAAATACTGCAAGGTCAATTCACATTTAACGGAATGTGGGTGCTTGTTGTTGCTTCTTTGGGGTTCTGTACTTTTATTTGCTACGTCTGGCAAGTCTACGTGGAAAAACCAGCAGCCCCATGACCCTCGGCCTCAAGTGGGAGGTCCCCTGTAAGCCTGAGAAAAGACTGATGAGTAATGCCCAGGTTTGGGGTGGTGCAGGGAAGAGGAATGTTTCCTGGAGGGAAGTGTAACAATATCTACTGGGTGGATAAGGCAGTAGTATTAGGTCAGCCAGTTTAAAATAAAACAAATTTGTGTTAACAAAAAATTATCTTATGCAAATTTATTTCTTATATTCTGGAGTGCAGACGTCCAAAACTGGTCTCCCTGGGGTAAAAGCAAAGTGTCTGCAGGGCTGCACTTTTTTGGGGGGGGGGAGGCCCTAGGGGAGAATCTGTTTCCTTGCCTTCCCAGCTTCTATTAACTGTACTCATTCTCTCTGCAGCTCATGGCCCTTTCCTCCATCTTCAAAGCCTTTGGAAACAGAGCTGAGTCTTTCCTAGATTGCACTTGGTACTGATTTTTCTGCTTCCTTCTTTCCTTTATTTAAATTGTGGTTAAATATACATAACCTTTACCATTCACCATGTACATAAAATTTTAACCATTTTTAAAAAGATTTTATTTATTTATTTGACAGAGACACAGCGAGAGAGGGAACACAAGCAGGGACAGAAGGAGAGGGAGAAGCAGACTCCCTGCTGAACAGGGCGCCGGATGCAGGGCTTGATCCCAGGACCCTGGCAGATGCTTAACCGACTGAGCCACCCAGGTGCCCCAAAATTTTAACCATTTTTAAGTGTATAATTCAGTGGCATTGAATACATTCACAGTGTTGTGCAGCCATCCCCACTAACCATTTCCAGAATTTCGTCATCAGAAAGAAAAACAGTTTCCCAAACAGCAACTCTGTACCCATTAGCTCCCAATTACCACCCTTGCTCCCCTGCTTCCCTCTCCTCCCAGCACCTGGAGACCTCTATTCCACTTTCTGTCTCTATGAATTTGCCTATTTCAGGTGCCTCATACAAGTAGAATCATACAGTATTTGTCCATATATGCCTGGCTTATTTTAGTTAGCATAATGTCCTCAAGATTTATCCATTTATCATTCCTTTTAAAAGTTGAATAATATTCCATTGTGTGTGTGTGCGCATGCACATGCGTGTGTGTATGTGTCTACACACATACCATATTTAAAACAAAACACATTTCATGTTGGTAAATAAAATTCCTTAAAGCATTTTAGAAGCTCATGTCAATCCTTGCATGCATTTATATTTACATGTACATATTAGAGTTGTTTGATGAAACTCCTGTCTCCCTTTCCCACAAACATTTCGTGATCTGTGAGCCCCATTTAGGTCCTTTTACACCTGATTCTATTCCTGCTTCTGGTTTGTTTACCAGATGATTGTGCGAAGCTAATGAATCTTTCTCCGTTTGCTCTGAAGACTATTTGATTTCCCATGTGGCTACTTTATTTGCCCTTGTTCATTTGTTTCTAGAGGAAGTGAAATATGGTGTCAAGAGCTAGGGCTTCCTGTGGGTAGAGAGGCTAAGTTGGAAGTTGGGCTCTCAGGGACTTTAGCTGATTCTCAGATGATTTGCCAGATGATTAATGACAGATTAATATTATCAAATATACTGATGTACCCAAAACTTGTTTTAGGGAACATGCTTTTTGAATAGATTATATATGAATATGTACTTTACTCAGAATTGACTTACTGCTTCATTTTTAGCCTTCATTTTCTTACAATGCTGAGTTGCTTCTCCTGTATTCCTTTGGGTATATTTTGCCATTTTGGTTTAATTTATTCCTCCTTCTGGCGCCTTGAAGCTAATCTACCCTGTGCCTGGCTCCCTTCGACTGTGATTTGCCTCTGAGCAGCTTTTCCTTAATAGAGAAATCACTTTTCTCCCCACATATCCACTTCTGCCCCATGACATTGCCACATTTTAAAGGAAAAGTACACACATCTGAACTACTATTCCTGACACTGGTTCCTATCTTGAACTATTATCTATCACTTGGCTTGAGCAGTTCCTTGATTAGGGAAAACCAGGCTTCTAAATGAAAAAATGAACAACCAACCTGATTATTTTAAACTTAATTTAACACGCCCCCCCCCCCAAAAAAAACCAGCCTGCCACAGAATGACAAATGGATACACACCAGTGGTAGCAGCTTTCTTTTCGTGGTCTTCATTCTTACTCTCCTGCTGTAGTTCTTCTGCTATATCTTCTTGTCTATGGAGTGATATTTTTGAAATATTATCTGTTTCTTCCCACCCTCCTTCCTTCATCATATATTTTCCTTATGATGCTTTGCTTCTCTATGCCATTTCAAAATTGAAAGTGCTCTAGGGTCATTGCCTCAGGGGTGGGGGGGGGTTGGAATCAGGACCTCAGAAAACCTGGCAGGTGGGGAATGGAAATGCTCTCTTCTGATTCCAGAAGCCTCGGCTCTTTCAAGAAAGAAATGAATTATTGGCATTTGTAATACATTTGGGAGGAAACCTAAATTACAGTAATGGATCTTCTTCCCGTAGTACCCCTTTCCCCAACTGAGAAACAGGAAGTCTCTGGAGGAGAAGTAATAAAGAAGACCCATGCCCTGTTCAGCCAGACTAAGTGTGGGGTGGTTTGGCAGCCAGAACCCAAAGAGAGAAAATAACTCCATAGCATCTTGGCCAGCGAGGGCTTTAGGTAACCATTCCAGAGGCTTGCCTATCCTCCTGGGGCCCCAGTGGTAGAGAGAGCCACTGAACCAGAGAGGCCCGTGCAGACAGGTACGTGGCGCTTCTGGCAAGACCAAGGACCTAGGGGCAATGGACTTCTTGTGGGTCAGTGCAGACAGATGACAGACATTGAGCAAGCGAAGGCACGCCCCTTGGCCTGACTCCAGTGTTGGTTAGACACCCCTGCCCCCCCCCCCCCCCCCGAACTTAGATGTGACTCTGGGGAAAGGGAAGGTTTGGCCATGCTGGTGGCATGAGAACTTCAACTAGAACGTGTTGACCCTAATGAAGTCGTATTTCACCCACACTGTAGTTTGTGGACTGTGGAAATGGAGGGCTTGACACCCACAGAGTCTCGTGCAGAAGCACTGAGCATCAGCAGAAGTGGTTTGTCACCCTATGTGGGACAGGATTCAGGGAACCTAGAGATTCTTCTTTCAACTTGAGTTTCAGCAAGCAACAGGGAGCAACTTGAAAGGGAGAGGTAAGAAACAAGAACCAAAGTTATCACACCGTTAATTTCTGTCTTTTGTGTGTAGCTGGTTCTCTTCTCATCCTGAATGTTAGCCCCCTGAGGGGCGGGGAGTATGTCTTTCTTGTTCACTGCTGGATCCTCAGCACCTGGAAAAGTGCCTGGCACAAAGGCGGTGCTCAATAATTCTTAGGGAGTGAACAAGTAAGCGGGTCAGAACCGTTTGTTGCGGGTAGTGGAATTCAGTCTGGCTAGTGTGGGATGCCCCGGAAGCAGGCTTGGATGTTAGAGCACTGGGGGCAGTGTGTCCCAGGGCAACAGTCGGAAGAAATGCCCCTGTCGCCTGCTGCTCTGCCCCATGAGGGCATGGACGTCAGAAACTTCCACAGCTGCCTCATACTCTCCCTTCACAGAGCTTGTCAGAGGACCTTGATTCACCTCCAGGTGACCTGACTCTCCTCCACCTCCAGGTGAACTGTGGGTACCTCTGATTGACAGAAGCTGGGTCACCTCTCCACACCCTGCTTTGAGAGAGGCTGAGAAATGGAACCTGAAGAAAAAAGTGTTTTTATACTTTCCAGCTCTCATAGTTGGAGGGTTGGGATACGTGTTGCCACTCCTCTCCCCCGCCGAGGTTTGTGGGCTGTGAGGAACGAGGCCACCACGACCTGACGGGGCCAGAGGTAAGTGTGTGTGTGTGTGTGTGTGTGTGTGTGTGTGTGTGTGTGTGTAGGGTATTTGTGCCTGCAGCTTCGGGCTCAGCACCTGTGCGTATGGAAAGGGCGAGGATTCTAGCAGTTGCAACACCTTCATTTTGATATCCTCATTGGCTGTTTTGGTCTGAAGGGCTCAGAGCATTGTTGCCTGTAGCTGTCACATGGTGTTCACCCTACAGAGCTTCGTTCTGTAGCATGTGTCTACACTTGTCATAGTTTCCCATCAAGCCCGAAAGCTCCCGGAGGCCAAGGGCTCTGTCCTCTTCACCTCTGTGGTGCATTCACGTGGCTGCCTCAGCCCCTCCAGAGAATAGATGGTCAGGGAATGTTCACTGATTTGGATGACCGAGAGGCAAGGCTGGTAAGTGACAGGAAAATGGGACTGGGGAATGGGACACCCGGTATCCTAACCTGGCACCGCTCCTGAAGGCCTCACAGCCTCCTGTAACTCAGACTCCTGGAGGATAAAGGCAAAGTGAAAATGCATCTACCTCACAGCCAAGTTATTAGGAGGATGGGCGAGGAGAGC